GTCGGGGACATGTCCACTGGATACAGGAGCCAGCCTGAAGGGGCAACCACTGGCTAAATCCTGAACAATTTCAGCAATAACATAAGGAGTCATAAATAATAGGTATTAAAATAAGAATTAATGAATCCATACAGGTATTTTTTCATACTTCTTTTTAATGCAAAAATAAAAGGAATAAAGAAGACTCATATTAGAATGCCAACTAATAAATTTAGATGGACTAATGGAATATCATTTGGAAACTACCATATTTGGAAACTACCATAACAACCATAGTAGGCAAAAATCATCTACGGATATTAAATGAGGAAATAAAAGTTTGATGAGAAACAGGATACCCATATATTACCAAACAATCTCCCCAAAAGACACCTAATTAATACAAAGGAAACAACAGTAACTCAGTGCAAAACCTAGCAGACAACACTTTAAACAAGTGATCAAAATGAACTTTGAAGATGACCCAAGAAGGAAACAGAATCACTGCTATAGTATTTGTCAAAATTTAACTTGGATCTAAACATGAGGAAACATCAGACAATGTATATTAGACACTCACACATATGCACATACATATTACATGTAATGTATATAACTATATATAATGTAAAACGTGTGTACATGTGTATAATGATAAAGCAAATATAGTAAAATATTACCATTTGGTGAATATACAAGAAAAATAAACAGTAACTGAGTTGTTTGTACTGTTTTTGAAACATTTCTAGAAGTATAAATTTGAAAATTTAAGAAAGAAAGAAAGGCAAAGAAAGAAAGAAAGTAAGAAAGAAACAATCCCAATCCCACCAGCAAATTGGAGGACATAAGCTGGTAACCTAATGCTCATTTCTGGGAAGCGCCAATTAATACCATCCTTCAAGCTCTGCAATACAGGACTGCAGGGAGTAAAATTCTAATGTATGGAGTGTGGCAGCCCTACAGAGAAGAATAAAGAGATGATACAACAATTTTGGCCTGCCTCTATCATTTCTTGTCCTGAAAATTCCAAAATATCAAGATGAAAACAATTCCTTCCCTTAAAGAAAAAGAAATTTGACAAGCCGTGAAGTAAAAAAAAGAAAAAAAAAAAAAAAAAAGGAATCCTGGGTATAACAAGATCTCAACTACATTAAAAATACACAAAGAAAAGCCCTAACACATGTAAAATGATTGCCTCTAGGTGATAAAATATAGTGATTATTTTCCTACTCTACCTTCTAAAATTAGAACATAACACTTCATAAGAAAAGTTTAGGAAATAACAGTAATGAACATTGTCAAGACACAGAGAACAGGAGCAATGACTATAGGATATAAAAAGTAGAAAGACCTTGCTTTTTGAGAGCCTGAGTGCTAAAATGTGTGGAAGAGTCAAGATATAGAACAAAATATTGGCCTTTAAATCTAAAAACCAAAGTCCGAAATCAGCCATGTTTACCTCTTTAAAAAAAAGAACGAATGAACATATTACCTAGTGTGTTTTCTGACAAAGCTGTTCTGTGAATCATGCAAGATAATGTACATGAAAGTGTAAAAAGATAGTCTTTTATTCATATGGTAAATATCAATTAGATTTAAAAATAAAGGTGAAGAACTATAAAAGACAAACAGCTCTGAAACTTTTTTATATTTGTTAGATTCATTTCTCAGATCTACACAAGAACACAAAATGTCCATTTATGGAAGCTGCCTTGTCCCGCCACCCCACCTTTGCTTTTTGTTTGTTTGTTTTTAAGATTTTATTTATTTGATAGAGGGACAGTAAGAGAGAGCATGAGCTGGGGGGGGGGAGGGGGATGGTCAGAGGGAGAAGCAGACTCCCCGTGGAGCCGGGAGCCTGATAAGGGAGTCATCCAAAATCCCGGGATCATGACCTGAGCCAAAGGCAGTTGCTTAACCAGCTGAGTCACCCAAGTGCCCCACCACCCCACTCTTGCCTGTAAATGGAGTTTAAGTTGGTCCCTCTTTTTTCATTACTTAATTCACTCACTTAGAATGTTCACTTATTACATCATTATAGATGATTCACTGGCTCTATCCCAAGCTCCACATCTCTATTAACAGTAAGTCACCGCAACTTAAAGCCTGAGCACTGTGGTTAAAGGCAGTGCCTTTTAAAGCTATTTTGCCTATTCAAATGACCTCATCTTTCTCTGCTTTTCGCATCTATACAATGAGTTATTTTCTGATTCACAGATATTTGAGCATAAATTATTATAAAACTTTTAGAATCATTTCCTGTTTAGAGTAACACTGAATAAAAATGAATATTATGATTAAAGATGGGCATTTGGTAAGCAATTAATAACATAGTTAATTCTATCTAAAAGTCTATTCTCTACATGGCTAACATTTTTTTTTTTTAATTTATTTGACAGATCACAAGTAGGCAGAAAGGCAGGCAGAGAGAGAGAGGAGGAAAGCAGGCTCCCCACTGAGCAGAGAGCCCGATGCGGGGCTTGATCCCAGGACCCTGGGATCATGACCTAAGCTGAAGGCAGAGGCTTTAACCCACTGAGCCACCCAGGTGCCCCTACATGGCTAACTTTTAAAATGCTACTCATCCCTCAAGACAAAGCTGGAATGTTGCCTCTTCTTGATACCTTCCCTAATGATTCCAGAGTGAAAAGTATTCATTTTCTCATACATTCTATTGTTACAGCTTTGCCTACTTACTAAAGTGGCATTTCTTTACATACTGCATTATGCTATTTACTTATATGCATTAGATCCACTACCGGATTGCTCCTTGAGGTAAAAAAATGGAGTTCTTGTATTTACACAGCAGAAGAGCTCCACACATCTTATACATAGTGGCCATTAAGTGTTCAGCTTGAACAATTTAATTTCAGGCCCTTTTGTTTTTGACATTAGTATATATTTGGGCAATATGTGTATGTATAGATTCTACTGACTATACCAGATAGTTGACCTTTTTACACTCTATACTGAACATATTATATAGCAAGAAACATCCAATAATTTTAAAAATTCATTTTAATAAAAATTATCTTCAAGATAGCAAAACCATAATGACTGTTGAGAAGCTAGCAGTTCTAATTATCTAAGAAGAAAGGAATGGAGAAACTATTTGTTGATTCAGAAATCACCTGAGAAAATAAAATTACAAGTTAATTGCAGATGTATGGATTCCCAAAATAGGAACCTACTTAAGGTATTGGCTATTGAAGACCTGTTTTCTTCAAAGGGCAGCTGACATTACATAACACACAGAAGTTATACCTAATAGGTTCTCTTGAAACTCTATGGTTTCTACTTTTGTGTTTTATGCTCTTAATCTTCAAAATGCTAGTTTTTGACTTAAGAGGTCTAAAAGATCCAGAGCATTGTGACATCAACTTATTTCAGAAAGTGTCTGCTATCAATCCAGTTAGAAACATCAAAAGATCTCACCTTTTAGTTACCTATTACTAAATTATACAGACTTGCAGTGTTTTTTAGTATTGTTTTCTAATTTTATTTTCTAAGAAGCCATTATAGATAGACAACTATCAATAGAAGATACACCTGGAACTTTCAAAATCAGTTTCTATACCAAGGTTTCCTTGCTCAGGTGGTTTTAGTGTAAACATTTACACCCTCTGGTTAACGGAAATTCAGTTCCGCATAATCTTATCCTTCCATTTAAGTCTTCGAAACACCTTTATAAGTAAAACTTTTTTTAACAACATTTTACAGATGACAGAGGTACAGTTTTCAGAGGGCTTAGTGAAAGGCTAAGTAACACTCTGAGGTTAAGCACCACCAAGAAGCAAAACAAGTTTGGCTCTAAAACTCTACCACACAAATTAGGTTTAGAGATTTTTTTTTTTTAAGCAGATGAAAACTGCTGACACGTGTCATGTTTTCATTTAAATAGAATGGGCTTAGAAAACAATCTGTGACCTACTCATAAACTGCAACTTAACTTTAATCTGAGGACAGTTTATTTTCAATCTTACACAGAGTATTTAATCATGTGACTACCAGAAATGAGTCTGTTAATGTTTTATGCACAGAGCCTCAAAGTCTATAAGAGTGACTGCGCCCCATTGTTTTTTCTAAGTTTACATACAGCCCAAAAAGAAGAAAAACCACACATTGTCATGAAAATACTCTGTAATGCGACAGTATTAACCAACCTGGATTTTATTTTGTATTTTTCTCTCAAACTACTATTGAAAATACTTTAGCATAAACAACTCATTCCCGTCCTATTTGTCTTTTTTGAAGTCCTATATTATCCTCCCTTGTTTTACTCATCTTTAAATAGTTCCCCGTTTTCTCTTAACATTCATCCATAGGGTCTTAACAATATATAAAACGAAAACCATCACAAATGCCTGAATTTCAGTTTGCTCCTGTGGAATGGAAAAACAAATTCGTCCGGCACAGCTGTATCCTGAAACTTAGCAAAAGATAAATGTCAATGCTGACAGAGCCAAACACGTTGACAAATGAATGGGAAAAACCATCTCTGGGGTGGCTTCCCCATCCCTACTCTCCTCGCCAGAGGCCCAAAGGCGCCGGGAGGCAGGCGGCCGCGACCCTCCAGCGACAACCCAAGCGCTGGAGGCCTCGATCCTCCCGCCTCTCCCCGCAGACTCAAGGCGCAGCTACAGTTTGGATACAAAAAGGACGGGGCACTGAACGTCTTCCGTCACTCCCGGAATTCCCAACTTGCTGGAGAGAGGAGGGGAAACTGAGGAGACGACGGGAGGTTCCGCTGCGAAGAAGCTGCCGACACAAAGCCCGCAGGCTCTCTAAAAGCTAGCAGTAAAACTAACCCAGAGAGCTAACAGTAACCGGGGGGAGGGGGAACCCCCGGGTCCCCAAAACGCAGCTCGCCGCCTCCCGCCCGCCCAAGGGGCGCGGGGTCAAAGGCCATCTGCAGAAGCTGCAAGCACATTGGCTAGGGGACAGGCGCGCAGGCGCTGGGAGGTGGGTCCCGAATTCGCCGCAGCCGCGTCTGCGGTGCCCTGAATTCTCCAGCTACTCACCAGGGTCTGGGAATCCGGCCACAGGCAGGGGCTTCAGCCAGAGCCGTGGGGGTTGAAAGCAGAGGGAGAGCGGAAGCCGACACCCTGCGGCCTCACCGCAGCGAACCCATCCAGCCCCGCCTCCCAAAAGGCGCGCGCAGAGCGTTCCTGCAGCCCCCGGTGGGCGGGGCCTGACGCCGAACTCTGGAAGGGGGCATGGCGCTGGCTTTACGGGCCGGGGCTCCCCTTATCTGCGAGCGTAAAGTGGGGCGTGAATGAAGGAAGGGAGAGTTTTTCCGGGTGTCCCGCGCAGGGAAAAGGGGCGGAGCCGACTCTGGCGGGACTCCCAGGCGCTCTCTCCGATTAGAGGTGACCCACCCCTCTCTTAGAAACTGTTCTGAAGTTCCTCTGGGAAGCTCTCACTAAAAAGGACAGCTGGTTTTGATGGGAGGCTTTCCAAAGTTGCTTTAACTCGAGTACGCAGGTTGTTTTCACTCTATAAGGACGAGTTTTATCTTTTTTGAAAAAACTGGAACTTTTTTTGAAGGCCCTAATAGATAAAGATGACATTTAATTAGCAAATATATAAAATCACCTTTGTAGTGGATTATAGAAATGATTGAGAACAATGAGACAGGTATAAAGAACAAGAACTTTCGAAATAGGGGTTTCTGCTGAAGGATTCCATTTTACATCAGCCTGAGAAGCCAAGAGAATTCTGTTTTGTTTGGTTACATAGTAACAAGGAAATCCTGGCTCACAGTCTAGAACTTGCTGACGTGAACAATTTTGTAAGGGCGTCCTTAAAATCACACTAGATTTTTAGTAGAAATTTTAGTATATGCATATATGTATATATGAATGTATCCTGTATGTGCACATTTTAAAGAATAATAAAAAGAATACCCTCGTACTCACTACGGAGCTGAAGATGCAGAATACCAGTATTTTTGAAGCCTTCTCAAAAGTTGTCTCCATCTCGCTCCCAGACAGAAATAACCATTATGTTAAATTTTGTATTACTTATTTTCTTGCATTTTGAACATAGTTATATATGTATGATTCCCTAAAAATATGTTATCTTTATTTTTTATAATGAATCACACAGCATTTTCCCCTCCAACTTCTTTTTTTCACTACACATTTGTGTTTTGAGATTCATTTATACACAGATACATTTCACATAGGCTGGCACATCACCGTAACACCTGTTATTGTTAGATTTTAAAATTTTTGTCTGCCAATAGCATCTCTTAATTTGCTCCTTTAATTTACATTAATCCCCTTGCCAATGAGCTTGTGTATCTTTATAAATGCTTAGTGGCTATTTGGTTTTCTGTGCAATGCCTGTTCTCAATTTTAACTCACTTTTTATAGGCTTGTTGCTTTTGGAAATTAATTTGTAGATGATCTTTATATATTTTTAAAGCTTAAATACTTCTCTCTTGTTGGTTATGTGTTTCAAATAGCTTCTCTCAGTTTATGGATTGTCCTTTAACTTTCTATGGTATCTTTTGATAACCAAAAGCTGTATATTTTAAGTACTGCTAGTTGTAACAAATTTTTACATTATAATTTCATCCATTTTGCTTTCTTATTTGTAACAGTCTTCAAACCTGAAACCATAGGATATTCTTGTTTATTTTCTAAAAGTTTTAAAGTTTAATTATGAAATATTTTTACACACAGAAAAGTATAAATAAAATAATGAGTATGTTATAGGCTTTGTTGTTTTTGGAAATTAATTTATAGATGATCTTTATATATTTTTAAAGTTTAAGTACTTCTCTCTTGTTGGTTATATGCACTCAACTCTGCATATTGAAAAATTCAGCAAGACCCTCTTTCTTATGATTTTTTTTTTCTTAAAGATTTTATTTATTTATTTGACAGAGAGTGAGGTCACAAGTAGGCAGAGGGGGAAGCAGGCTCCCTGCTGACCAGAGAGCCCAATTCGGGGCTCAATCCCAGGACCCTGAGATCATGACCTGAGCCAAAGGCAGAGGCTTAACCCACTGAGCCACCCAGGCGCCCCTCTTATGATTCTTCTCTAAAATTACCTTAATTAGGGGCGCCTGGGTGGCTCAGTGGGTTAAAGCCTCTGCCTTTCCGCTGGGATCAAGCCCCAAATAGGGCTCTCTGCTCAACGGGGAGCCTGCTTCCTCCTCTCTCTGCCTGCCTCTCTGCCTACTTGTGATCTCTGTCTGTCAAATAAACAAATAAAAATCTTTATTAAAAAAAATTGCCTTAATTACTCTTGGCTGTTTGTTCTTTCATATAAACTTTAGGATGATTCAGCCAAGATCCATAAAAAACCCTATTTGGATATTGAGTGGAATGAATTTGACTTTATTGATTATTTTATCCACGGGCCTGGGAAATAAGGAGAAGGATCTTTATTGCTAATGCCAAAAAAGAGTGGAAACGGTTTTGCTAGTAGCAAGACAAGATCAACCCCAAGGATCTTGTGGGGTAGAGACTATTATAATAAGTAATTAGGAGAAGACAAAGGCTACTATTAGTTTAATGCATTAGAACAGTTCTCAACAAGAATTTGATGAACAAAATTTGTATTTTTTCCCCATTCTTCCCTGTTTGGATATTTTTTTTCTCCCCTTTGGGAGCTCAGTGACCACCCTGATGTAACATATTTGAAATGTCCATTTACTACATAAAATCAATTTGTATGCAGCTCCCACTTTTTTCCTTCTGGGAATCCCTCTATTAGATGAATGGCATATTCCTTCAGTGCTAGTTTTTAGTTGAAATACATGTAAAAAATAGACAATTGAATTTGCCACAAATTATAGCCAACCTATATTTGAAAGATGTCAGGATTTAGTGTGTAAAAATATTTGTGATCATTACAACAAAACATCATTCCCATACCTCCCAATAATCAAGAAATCCACACAAAACCACTTTGAACAATGACGACATTGTCTCTGTTAGTGATATTTCAACATTTCTTGCCATTAGGAAGGGACCAACAGAACAGTCAGAGTTATAGGATGGAGCATTAGATGCAATTCCAATCCAATTTATAAATACCATTTTGCATTGAATCTGATGGTTAGAAAAAAATCATTCAATGAGAATCTATTTACCCTAATTTATTTATGCTGGCAGGCATAATCAAACAGTTTTTAAGAAGTAGGCATACACTGATATAAAATAAAATACCCTTTCTTTCATTCAACATCAGAATATTTATTAATATAATAACTTCCATAAACATATTAGAGTCGGGAATAATGATTATTTCAAAAATGCAGGAAAAAAACTAGGCCCTCAGGACTGGTACTCTTTTACTTTGATTTATTAGGATTCTATAATACTGAAATCTTAATTTAGAATTTCTATTTCTGTCAATTTTTAAAATTGGTAAATTGGTGACAATAATTGTCATGAGAGAGAAAGTTATCTAAATGCTTAAATTAAAGCAAAAAAGGAATTTGTGTCCTGAAATTCCCTACTGCACTGTAAAAGATTAGTGTCTCCTTGATGGCATGGATTTTGCCCTTTTTATATGTTCAGAGTCAGCAAAAGTTGTTGACATAACAAGAATACAACAAATAATTTATTCAGGGGATAAAAGAATAAAAGACTAAGAGGTTACTTACTCATTATTATTTAATCCTACTTTCTGATATGTATTGTTTGCTCTAGTCCTAGAACTGTCCTTACTGTCATCTGAATACTTTGTCTTTTCTTCCATCCAGTTCCTGCAGTTTCATTAGAATCTTCTAGACATATTATGTCATTTCATATCTTTGTTCATCACTCCACTTACCTGACATATCTTCTCACTGCCTGTCTATTCCCCCTCCATTCAAGTTAGAGTTCTTTTTTGCAAGCAATAGAAACTGAATTTGGCACACTGAAGCACAAATAGACCTTATGTGAAAGGTTACAGAGAATAGCAGAAAGGTGAAGTCTAGTAAATAAGGCAATGGGCGGGAACACAGAATGGCTGGACAACTGGGATGACAGCCTCATGCAATGGTACGGATTAAGGCACTGATAATTTCAAGTGTGCACTGAGCTCTCAATGTTTGTGACACCACCATGAAGAATCTCTCCATTCTGCCTGCATTGTTTGCCTTAGTTCTTCAAGATTCAAATCTTTGGATGGAAAAGTTTGATGAGCTAAGCCTAAGTTACATGTCTGTATCTCCTTAGCTTCCTTAAAATGGAAGTCAGTTCTTTCGGCTTCCTTAATGAGAAGTCAGGTACAAGACACACACTATGGTTTTCCTCCAAAACCAGGATTTTTGGATTCTATAGCCAACAAACAAACAAATACAGTAAATCTCAAAACAAAATTCAATTATCTACTACATTATGCTTCAATGTCCATGTCAAGTCTGCCTTCTCTAATGCTATTGTACTATGTACAATGTAATTATTACTACATACATACATTAATCACTATTACATTATAGGCAATATGATAGGACAGCAATAATTTCTTCATTAATTAAATTGTCATACCATTCTTTACATCACATTTTCCTATATAAAGATGTAACTAGGCTATCTCTTGACATCACTTGGGATGCAAAGACTGTAACTCCCAAGAAATCCCCTGAATATAACACCAAAGCCTCTACCAGCTGATAGCAGCAGATAATTCAGAAATACAAACTCTTACCCATCACCTTACTGCTCTAATTTTTCACCATGTGTACCCAGAGTTCTTGAGTACCTACCAGTCTTGACAACAAAGAATCCAGTCTAACTCTATCCTACATAAATTCATTACTTGTGACGTGGGTCAAAGAAACTGGTGTTGGCAGGTCATGTCTCTAACTCAGAGCTGTGTAAATTCTCTGACCTTGTAGTGGCCATAGGGGCTAAGGTGCCTTCTTTACTAATTAGTAGAGACTGATTTAGGATTTACTCACACCCTAGTATTAAACTCAATGTAGGTAATTCTCAACTGCTACAGTCTCAATGTTTGCATCCCTTCAAAATATGTTGAAATAAAACTACTCAGGTGATGGTACCAGGAGGTGGAGACTTTAAGAGGTGGGGACTTGTGAGGTGAT